TAGAAAAATTCAAAAAACTTTTTAATACAATTATTTTTCCATTTTGTTCAATTAAAAATCAAGATCAAAATGTTTTAAATATTTTATATTGTAATACTGATATTATGTCAGTGATGCAAAATAATGATAACTGGACACCGAACCATTTTGTACCAATTATTAAAAAACCTAAACTAATTTCTAGTAATAATATGAATTTGGCTATAAAAAACGATACTACTTATCCTTTACACTTTTTTAGTCCTAAAACTGAAACAAATAAAAAAAAAAAAACTTGATTCTGCAAAACATGTCAAAATTTAATCTAAAATTAACTTTAAAAAAGACAATGCTTTCATAGAGTTGCCTTTTGAACCTTCTGTAGATTCAAAAATAGTTAAGTCATTAAACTCCAACTCAGTTATTATTCCTTCATATAATGAATTAAATTCTTTGTATGATGTTTCAGCATATCTTGTTCGAGGTAAACTTTTAACTGCTGGCAAAAATGATTCTATATTGTTAGATACGGTAAACAAAATATTTTGTCCTAATTCTATGTTTGTTTTTCCAATATCTTTTAATACAAAAAGATCATTTAAATTTGAATGGCTCAGCCAGTTTTCTTGGTTAGCTTATTCTAGCAAAGAAGATGGAGATTACTGTCTTCCTTGTACTTTGCTAGGTGCTAGTATTCTAAATAAGTCTGGAATATTAAATTTAGTTTTCAAGCCCCATCAAGAGTGGGGTAATGCTGTTCTTGATTATAGAAAACATGAGGAAAGTTGTGTTTTACATGAAAAACCTATGCTTTTATTTAATGCATTGCTTTCACGTTGCAACTCCAAAAAAAATATTATTGAGGCTGATTTAAATAATTCTCGTTTGTAACTTCTTTCTGATAACCGAAAAAAATTAGTTCCAATAATTAAAACAATAATATTTCTTGGTAGAAACGATCTAGCATTTCGTGATGCTAGCAAATATCATCCTGGTATTGGGGAATTTTCTACACAAAAAGTTGGAATTGGTTTAAATTTTTGTGTTGATGCTAGTGATCAAATATTAGCTAATCATCTTTCTTCAAGTCCAAAAAATGCAACCTATATATCAAAAACTACCCAAAACCAACTTATTGATTCTTGTGGGAAAGCAATTGAGAAAGTTTTAATAAAAAATTTCAAGCATTCAATTTTTTTTCAATTCTTTGTGATAAAGCAGTTCAAATACTAAACAAATGTCACTTGTTTTAAGATATGTAAATTCAAATAATGAGATTTGCGAGGATTTCTTAAGATTTATTGATTGCAAGACTGGTCCATCTGGTCTTAGTCTCTAAATGTACTTAATGCACTTCAAGAGTTTGGACTTGATATTCAAAATTGTAGAGGCCAAGGGTATGATGGTGCGGGTTTTATGGCAGGTAAATTTGAAGGAGTTGCTTCTCGAATAAAAGCTCTTAATCATAAAGCTATATTTGTTCATTGTGCAAGCTATAGACTTAGTTTAGTAGTAGCAGCTGCATGCCAAGTTCAAAAAGTAAAAAATCTTCTTGGCCAAGTAAAAGAAATTTTTTATTTTTTTAACTTATCTCCTAAACGTAGTAACTGTCTCAAAAAATATTTAAGTCCAAATCAAGAAAAAATAATAGATACTTGTCGAACAAGATGGGTTCAAAAGCTGAGAGGTCTTGATGTTTTTTTTTGATAATTTTATACCTATTATTCATGCTTTAGAGGAGATGGGGTTAAATGAGTCAAAGGAATTTAGCAGTGAAACTGCTTCCAAATCCTCTTCTTTTTTAAGATTATTAACAGATTTCTCTTTTATTGTAAGTTTAGTTATTACAAAACAATTAATGGATTTTTTTAATGCAATTACTGTAACTCTTCAAATTAAATCTTTTGACATATCCCAGCAGTGTTTTGAAATAACTAATCTAAAAAATCTGTTATTAGAAATTAAAAATAAAATTGATATATATCACACTGAATGGTACGCTATCGCTCTTAGTTTGGCCAAAACTCTTGATATACAAGAAGTGAGACCTAGATTGTGTAATGTCCAGGTTTACCGGGATAATTATCTAACAAATACAGTTTGTGACTATTTTAAACACAGCATTACTTCTCCATTAATTGAACATCTTATTAATAAGCTAGATAATAGGTTTCCAGAAAATGGCATGTTTGTTTATAGAGGTCTAGCAGCAGTTCCTTCAACTGTACTGTCCAGAATACAAGTTAAAAAACCATGGAAATCTGATTTTTATGAATTTTTAAATTTCTATTCATCTGATATGCCTCATTTTACTTCAATACATGCTGAGTTAGATTTATGGGAATTATTTTGGGAAAACCAGTCAAGTATTCCTTCAACTGTTGCTGGTACTTTAAAGTCCATAGACATGAGAGGTTTTCCAAATATAAGGACAGCATTTATAATTTTAGGAACAATTCCAATAACAACTTGTGAATGTGAAAGAAGTATTTCAGTTATACGTAGGCTAAAAACATTCTCTAGAAGTAATATGATTGAGTCTCGCTTTAACTCTTTAGCATTAATGTCTATACATCAAGAAATTTTTCCAGATGTTGAAAGAGTCATTGACATTTTTTCAAAGTCATGTGAAAGACGTTTAGACTTTTGAGCTTTTATTTAGTAGTGTACTAACTTTTATTTTACTTTTTTCTTATTTCTAATTTGATTTTTACTAATATTGTGTGTGTGTGTGTGTGTGTATATATATATATATATGTGTGTGTGTCCAGAAGTGGAGGGCCAACCTTAGGCAATATTACTTTACACTCCAGAAATAGAGGGCTAACCTTGGGCAAAATGACAGTATACAGATGAAGTGCAAAGTCCTATGGCCTACCTTTTCGTTGGTGCACTTTGTTAAGTAATTTAGGCTTAAAATTATGAACAAAATAGCCAAGGCAAGATTTGTAATAATTTCTGCTAAAAATGGATACTGCAAAAGCAATACAAAATTTAGTTATTATTCAATGATATAAACAGCGGCGCCACTAGTAAAAAAAGCTGTTTCTCCACTTTTTATATTGACTATACTTAAACCCTAGAGAGGATGCGGGGGGGGGGGGGGGGGGGGGAGACGTCAATAAAAAAATTTCGCATCACCCATTTAAAATGCTAGATCTACCCCTGTTATGGTTTTATGAATTCTTGTAACCACAAGCATTTTTTTTAATCATAAGTACCAATGGTCCTCTAAAATGCTGATTTTAATGGTGTTCCTTGTTTTTTTAAAGGTTTAATTAAAATTTAGGAGTTACACAAGAATTGAAAAACGATGAAAGCGCATAATTTTACGTTCTGCATCAGCCAATAAAGTTTTTTATAATAATAATTATTAATTTTTAATCAACTTCATTAAATAATTTTACAAGGTAAAAGTACAAAAAAAAAAAAAGTTTAAAACTTGAAGAAAAAAAGTTTAAGAAAAAGAGATCATTTTGAAATAAAGACGCCAGTTATAAAAAATTAATCATACTTATTGCCATTTATTTTATCTATTCATCACAAATCTTCAAAAACAATTTTTATCTTAATATAAATTAAAAATTTAGGGCAAAAGTAAAACCATTGGTGTTTTTAATGGCTCTACTTAGAAGGGGTATTATTTATTATTTTTTTTAAGCAAAGAGTTTTGCCATATATTAAAATTTACAATGAAATAAATCGTGTTAATAAATAAGAGAACTGGAGCGAGCAGAAGACATAAATTGTCTTATCATCAAGCCCCATTATAAAATTTACATTAAAAAATCGTCAGTTAATATAAAAAATGAAGAGTAGCTAAGTACATAACAAGAACTTTAAATACGTTAGTTACAATATAACTAATAACATAATATAAATATTAGTTTGAAAAACAACGCATTATATCAAAGATTAACAATAATTTAAAAGTATATTTTAAAATGTTAAGAAAATTAAAATATACTTTTAAATTATTGTTAATCTTTGATAAAATTAGTTTCAAAATTAACCCACTTTGATTGTTCCACGCACACAACCACTTGAAAAAACTAATCTATTTAGGTAATCTATGTAATACTTGTTAAAAACACCTTTGTTATGGTACTATGCAACAACAACTACAACAACAATGGTACTATGCAACAACAACGACAAAAGAATTACATCCATATAGTAGCTACAGCAGAAGTGTTTCTCAAAAAAAAAGTTGCATAAAAATTGTTAGAAAAAGTTAGAATCAATTTATCGTAAACAACAATGGCAGCTTCATTACACTACTGTACGTCTAGAACTGAGCATGGGACCCCTTCTTAGCAGGCAAAATAAAATTGTAAAAAATTTTTTCTATTACGCTGTTCCGGGCATTTGCCATTACCCTTAGGTTGTTATAACCATTTTATTTTTTGCGAGACAAGCGTGGAACAGCTTTATAAATATTATTTTAAAAAAAGACGATGTTTTATCGCGCGAAATTCGGAAAATCAACTTGGTTTAGATAACTGTTCCAAAAAATATCTGAAGAACAAATTTATAATAACGGAAATACGATAAATAATGATATAATAACGACTTATTTTTTTCGTTATTTTATTTTATAATTAAAATAAACTGCCTTTAATGACAACTGTGAAGACTAAATTATCGACTAAACTGTGTTTAAATAGTATTAAACTGTGTTTAATTTGAAAATAAATAAATAAATATAAACTCCCTAAAGCTACGCGATATTTCGTTATATTTTTTCTTGAGTCAGAACATATTTGTTCCAGGTAATAGAAAAACGTATAATCGAGAAATAAAAAGTTTTTTCGTCTGACTTCCAGAACTTTTCGCAAAATATTTAGATAAAGTATCATTTAGTTTATCTTGCGTAATCATTTTAAAACAAAATATTTGACACAATTCTACGCTTTTCTTTTTTCTTTTTTCTAGAGAAAAAAAGCACCATATTGTGCTAACTTCATTTTATTTATGAATTGTATAAATAAATTTTGGAAGAATAAAAAATAACTTCTAACCTTATTGAGCCATTTGTGATTGAGTGCTTCTTCCACAGAAATTCTACGGCTAAAAAATTACAGAGATTCTAAGGCTAAAATATTACAGAGATTCGATGGCTAAAAAGAAAATTTTCAGTTTAAAATGTCTAAAATTAATCATAGACTATAGAGATTCTTCGAGTGTTTATTAGCATTTATTACTTGTTAGTAATCAACTTTTACATCAATTACAATTAATTGTTGTATTTACTTCCGTTTTATCAAAACACTTTTATAAGTAGTTGATAAAATTTATATTAGTGTATTATATAGTATGTTAATTATTAAAAATTATGTTAATTATTAAAAATTATGTTATTTGTCAATAATTCTATTAATTCAAAACTATTATTATTATTTAAAAAAAAAAAGATGCAAACAATTCTATTTAGTATGACATCCAACAACAATGAAAGTTAGTATGAGAATTGGCAACAATAAAGATTAGTAAGACAAAGGACAACAATGAATGTTAGTAAGACAAAAAACAATAGTGAAGATTAGTAAGACAAAGAACAACAATGAAGATTAGTATGACAAAGAAGAACAATGACTATAAGTAAAACAAAGGAAAACAATAAAAGGGTTAAAATAAAAATAAAAACTTTGAAAATGAGATATCGGTTTCAAAACGCATAGAACAATAATGTAAGTAATTAAGTCATTACCATGGTTTGTATTGTAAGCAACAATCAATAAGGTTTTTAGCTTCTTCCGAAATTGTATCAAAGATATTGTCCTCAACATTATAGCTATAGTCTCCGATAGTAACATTATCAAATGTTTCATTATCGTTGCCACCAAGAAAAGGAGAAATACCACTAAGTAAGACATACGTGATAACTCCTATTGACCACATGTCTGTCTTCAGTGTGATGGGATTAAATGATATGACTTCGGGAGCTTAAATGAAAAATAAATAACTTTTATTGGTTTTAAACACACCCAAGACGCTCGTGCAAAAAACGTACACTCTGAAATAAAGTACTGATAAACCACGGTAAAAATACTGATAGTCAAATGAGATTAAATTTAATAGGGAATTCTTTTAAGGATGTGTCAAATAATTTGTTTAATGATTTTATGACGTATCAAAATATCTATTAAAATGGCAAGCGTTGTATGTATCTCTTAGGCTGTCATATGAAGTAAATAGATGTCAAAGTGGAAGCAGTAGTTGTAATAAATTGGTTGTAAAAAAAGTATTTTTCTTTATTCTAATGGTCTTTTAGTTTTAGAGTATTAAACTTAAATTTGAAACTAAATTTATAAATTTATAAATGGTTAAAAAACTAGTTAAAATACCAATAAATTCTGCAGTTCCGCAAATCACTTTATTTTGTTCTTCAGATTTCAATTCTCTTGAAAATCCAAAATCTATAATTTTTATCTCATCTTCATCCATATTGCCCGAACATAAAATGTTTTCTGGCTAAAACATAAACTGAAATTATTTTTTAGTCAAAAACAAATTATACTAAATATTTATATACATAAAAAACAACAATATTTTATAACAAATTATAAATAAATAATTAAAAGTTTCATTTATCTTTTGACTTTTAATAACTTCCAACTCAGTGGTTGCTTGCAGCCATGTTTAAAGTAAAAATGTTGAAAAAAATTTGCATTTTCAATTTCATTATTTTTTTAAAATGATCTCGAAGCGATAAAAAAAAGGTTTTATTTTGTCATTGTTGTTAACTAAAAATAGTTACAAATCAAAATATAGAAAATATATTGCTATTAAAGAAGTTCATGCGACAACTTCAAAAAAAAATTAAATTCATTTTACGTTACTTTTAAAAATTAGTTAAAAATTTAAATCATATTTTTTAATTAGCGTCATTCCTTAAAATACTTTTTTTTAATTCCCTCAAAAAAGTATTTTAAGGAATGACGCTAGTAACTATGTAAACTCTGCGACAAACTCTTCAAACTTGGAACATTTTACCAAATAAGGAGCTTATTTGCAAAACGCGCTATGTCCGAGAAAACTGAATTTGAGAAAACAACGAAAAACTACTGTTATAAGAGTAGTTTAGTTTTTCGTTGTTTTCTCAACTATAGTTGCGCATCAACAGAAATTCATATTTTCTTTGTCCATTTTTAGGACAAAAAATTTTTTAATTGGTCTAATATTTAAAATGTGAATTTTTTTCCAAACAAAAAAGATAAAGTTTTATACTAAAGATCACATATATTTTATTCATTTATAATATATAACTGTTTTATGTATTACTAACGTATCGTATATAACTATTTTATATATTAATAACGATACATAAAGTAACTGCAAATAGGAATAGGTATATTAACTAAGTATTTTGTTTGGAACACGGCCGAGTCATATTTATAACCTAAAAAATAACTAGTTATATATTCTTCATACGATTTGTAGTTCACAGTTGGCGTTTAACCTAATTTCTATATATATTTCTATATATATTTGCGTTGTTAAGCAAATCGATGAAAAAATTTAGTATCAGTACAATTACATATTTGTATATATTGATTTGTAGCGAAATTAAATTTTTATACATCGTACTAAAAACGTTACATAATATAATTAACTTGATATATTTATAAAATCTATATAATATATTGATTTTATATATATATATATAAATTCAATTATATTTAAATGTTTTTAATACGTAATTTTTAATCTTCAAGATGGTAAAACATTTATAAATTGTAAATATTTAAATCATTTACTTTTAAATCAAGATGAACAATATTTTTTTCATGCATATGATTAACTCCTTCTAATATTTGTCTCATGTATCTAGCTACTTGATACTCTGTAAGTTGAACCTCTTCTTGAGCACATTTTTGAAAAAGCTCTTGTCCAGAAACCAACTCCATAACAATTATAAGTTGACGTCTTGTTTCAAAAGCATCGTAAAGTTTTATTAGGTATTTATGGTTTAGTTTCCTCATAACATTAACTTCATTTTCAAATTCCACTTTTGATTTCGCTGTTTTGCGGATGAATTTTGCTGCCACGAGAACTCTTGTTTCTTTGTTTCTACATTTACTTACAGAACCAAATGAACCTCTGAAAAAAGTTATATATCAAAAAGTACAAAAAAAAAAATAAAAGCAAAACCTAATAAGATAAAGTATATAAAAAACACAAAGTATATTGTATAAAATTCTCACTTTCCAAGTTCTTCAAGAATTTCGTACTTTTCGTCGTAACTAATTAATTCTTTAACAACACGTTCAAGCTTATTGTCTAGTAAAAAAAAAAGGAAGAAAAATGAGTATGGATATTTGTAATACTAGGGATATTTTTATGGCTGTCTACAAAAAATTAGAATAGAGCACATCTAGACATGTTTTTTTTTCAATGCTAGTTTTGTGCTGTTTTTGAGGTAACACAAAAATTGCTAAAATATTAACCCACAATTTTCAGGTAATACGAAAGTTGTTAAAAGTACACAAGGTTTCTGGTTAAGCGAAATTCGGTAAATATTGACAAACAAGGTTTTATACAAAATTAATGTAAAATTAAAAAGATAAAAAAAATGGAAATTTATGAAAAATATTTTATATCTTATGTTAAGAAAACTGTAATATGCATAAATGATTTACTTCTGTGGTGTTTGTACAAATAGTACAGGAGTAAAAAATATTACCTATGGTCATTACTTCTTGATCTTCGAAATTTTTTCTAAAATTTAAAAAAATATTTTAAGACATACACTTTTTTGCATTTTTTCTTTTTAAAATATTTAAATACACGTGGGTTTTATAGTAACAATATCAAAAAACCTTTTTCTCTCTAAAACATAATAAATACCGTTCTAATATCAGTTTTGTAAATTTTTTAATATCTTATGGTTATTGTAAATTTTTTAATATCTTATGCTAGATTTATACTGTCTATATTTTTTATGGATTATAAGATTGACACCTTTTAACTATGCTTGACTTGATTCGGAGATATTAAACCAATAATAAGACCAGTTTTCATTTGATGTAAAAACGACATTGGTTTTTGTTGGAATTCAAAGTTTGTTTCTTTTTAAGTTTTAAGTTTTGTCTTTTTGAATTCTATTTTTGTAAATAATATATTTAAATCAATTTAAATAGTGTTTTTAAAATTGTAATATATATATATATATACATATATATATATATATATATATATATATATATATATATATATATATATATATATATATATATATATATATATATATATATATATATATATATATATATATATATATATATATATATATATATATATATATATATATATATATTCCTGAAAGGTAATTTTGCTGCCTAAAATTTAGACAGCAAAATTACATCTTAAGAATAAAAGATAGAACAACAAACGCTATTTAGGCTAAAGAAAAGATTTACTTGTTTGTCTAAGGAGATCTGCTCCAACCTCCAACCAAAGCGTCATTCAAAATTTTATAATAACCTAGTCACAAATTAAATCTTTGATTCGCAACTTAAATAAGATTAGTTCTAATAATGTCAACTTATTGTAAATATAAGCTTTTTAATCATAAAAATTCATAAATGTAACATGTTTATACACAGCAGTCTTTGAATGTGTTTCATTTGAAATCAATATATATATTAATAGGATTACAATTGAAACTTAACACTTATTATCAACTACAAAAGTACTTAGAAATTCACAAAAGTTAAAAAACTTAGAAATTTTAACTTAAACTTAGAAATTTTAACTTATTGACTGACTATTTATTAACGATAAGCAAAAACTGATTTAAAAGCAACCAATTATCAAAAGCAAACGTTAAAAACTTGTTAATAGAGTTACTACCACGGCCATTATTTTGGCTGATAAGCTATTTCGTTGACAGATGTATTGCCGTCTATTTGACTGCTTTGATATTACCATAACTAATACCTTAAATAAAGTTATGTTCTTACAAATATATATATATATATATATATATATATATATATATATATATATATATATATATATATATATATATATATATATATATATATATATATATATATATATATATATATTTTAAACTCAAAAATTTTTAGTATGTCTAAAGTAACCTACAGGCAGTTTTTCATGCCAACATTATTAATGGTGATTTCTATCTAATCATTAACCGAAGGTTATAACTATGACCTATTTATTATAGAATTTACACAACGGGAGTTTTATGAAAAAGTTACACAATTATACTATATCTATGCTAATTTTTAAAATATATATATTTTTTATTACATGACAAAAAAATTTGATAAAGATTTTATCTGTTACGAAATGATAGCAACATTTATGTTAGTTTATGCGCTGGTGTAAATGAGTGCCATGTGCTGATATGGGATTTATATCATATCCACACATGACCCTCATTTTACTTTCAGGTACAGACCACATACGGCCCAATATGTGGCTATAATACTTATACAATCTAAGTATTATTAATACCATAACCATACATGACCCCACATCTACGCCACTCCATAAATTGAGTATATCACATGCGGCGCGCATCAAATTTTTTAGTCAGGTAACGTTACTAATTTTTGCCATTTAAAATTCTTACTGGCTATAACGAAATAAAGTTGAAGAAGAATTCTTATTATTTTGAGTTTTCACCAAACAATTAAACGAAATGAAAACTTACTTGAGTTTAAAACTGAAATCTCGTTTAACTTTTTAAACGTTTTTGGTTTTCTTTGTGCGTTATGTTTCATTTCGCAGAATACAACTTTCTTTAAATTTATTTTGCATTTAGCCAGTTATATTTGCTACGGGTAGCTGGTTTTATTGTTAAAAACACTTAACACTGTTTTAAAACTATTTGGCTGACAATTCTTTAATCATAAGTTTATATGAAGCGCAAACATTTTGAAATTATACTCAGAAGATGCTACTTCCGACTTGACATATTGTGTCTTCTTAAGTCGGAGTATTTAAGATAAAAACGTTGATAGTGGGAATAACAAATAAACATCGGAATCTTTTGTGAAATATCCAAAATACAAATTGATAAAACACATGTTACTACAAAAGATTTTTTGATTTGTGGTAACATGTTGTAACATATACCTTTCGAAGATTTCTACAGCAGTAATTCAATCTTTGTCAATTTTTGATAAACGAATCAAAAAGTTGTAACAAATAAGAACGTTACCAGAATTTATTATAAACCCTGTTTTTACAAAGTTTTCAATTTTAATTTTTTTACTGTATTACTGTTATTTTAAAAAAAAATTATATTCTAAATTCATCTTAAAAGATACTTTTCAACTTTTAAAAAGTGTAAAATGAACCGAAAACATAATATTAATAACAGTTCAAAGATTTTAGTGTCATTTAAAAAGCTGTGAAATGACGCATTAAAATAAACAACTTTGTTAAAAAGTTGGAAACGCCAAGCAATTTTTGTTTGAAGTTTATTAAGCTAACGTCTTATTTTGATTTCAAGATTACAAGTTTAGCCAATCCATTTCGTAATGGAAAAAGGGTCAAACATGCATGATGAAGTTATATGTTTTATATGTGATGAATATTATATTATATGCGGTGAATCTCATTTTCAAAAACGTATTCCTAAAGAATTGCTTTATTTTTCTTTTAAAAAACCATTGATCAACGCTGGTGTTAAATTTTTTTTACCAATTAGTGTTTTTAAATACTTTTTTTGATATTGCTAACATGATGGCAGTAAAACTGTGACATATGTCAAAATTGTCACGTCTTAAAAGTCAATTGTCAGTTGTTTTAAAAACCAAATATTTTTAGGCTAATTTATAGGAGAATAAAATGGAATCATAAAATAAATAATAGTTTATTTTTTATTTTATGGTTCCTTTTATAAAACCTGATTTGATTGAACAAAATTTTCATTCTTCCGCTACATTTGGGGAGAATTCCACAATTCCACGGGAGTTACATATTTAGTTCTCATAAGTGAATGAAACTAAAAGAACACTTGGATAAAAAGCAACCAATGAAAATAGGCTGATTTAGAAACTGAGACGCGGACGTTGAACGAAACGCCGTTTTAAAAATGCGGTCTCGTTGCCTCTTTACATTTTTACTATGATTTAGAAAAGTTTACAAACCGGAAAAATAGAAATAAAAATAGAAACAAACTTAAATATTAAGTTTTAAAATTTTGTAAAAATTGTTATTATTGTTATTATTATTATTATTATTATTATTATTATTATTATTATTATTATTATTATTATTATTATTATATATATATATATATATATATATATATATATATATATATATATATATATATATATATATATATATATATATATATATATATATATTCTAGGCTTATGTCAGCATCATATAATCTCTCGATTTTTTTAAGTTTTTTGTGACAGTCTCTTTTGTATTATTGAACTTCAACATTTTTTCTCTTTTTTGTGTTAACGGGTTGAATGAAAAACATTTGTTGCAAAGCTATCGAGTTAAGTTTCAACTTTTGAGCACATGTTATACAGTATACATTGATACTAGATATTGTTGGTATATATTCAGCAAATACTTACTTCATTTCCTTCTTCCAATTCAAAGTATAAATATAGTTAGAGATGTAATCATACAAAATGTAAATGATGGAAATGTAACTTTAAATTTCTTTTCATTTATTTACTCTTTTTTTGTGTGTGTAATTTATTTTGCCGTTAAAGAATTTTTACAAGGCATATACATTTATCGAAATTAATGGCTGGAGCAATAAAAGGACACACTTTGCCACACTATCGCCGAGCTCCATATGTATAAAAAAATTATACATAACCGTAACATACATATATTTATAAAAACATAAATTAGAATTGAAAACAGAAGAAAATAAATAAATTCAAAATATCAAATAATTCAGAAGTGTCAAAACGCTTACAACCGCTAAAATGTTTAAGAAACAAAAAACAAAAATTTTAGAATAAAAAAATAAAATAAAATTTTGTTTTTATTAAAATTCTAATCACTGATGAATTTTTAGCATCATCGCTAAATTTTCATTGATACAAATAAATCTGTTTTTATTTGATAAAGCTTACTTTAAAAGAAACATTTAAAAGTCGAATTAATTAAGATCCCTGTACAGTTGTAATAGTTTTGATTCTGGTCTTGTTTTTGTTGTCAATATCTGGGAATTTTTTCCACTGATAAGATCTTTAAACTGTTATTAATATTATGTTTTCGGTTCATTTTACACTTTTTAAAAAGTTGAAAAGTATTTTTTAAGATGAACTAAGAATTTAATTTTTTTTCAAAATAACAGTAATACGGTAGAAAAATTAAAATTTGTAAAACAGGGTTGTAAAACTTTGTAAAAACAGGGTTTTTAATAAATTCTGGTAACGTTCTTATTTGTTATTTATTTTTCCACATTTTTTTCGTATACTGTGAATCTATTAAGGTAAATACTAGAATGTTCCATGAAGTCAAGTGGTTTAAGGAAATTGGTTTTTAATCAATAATTATTGTTAATGTGTTTATACGGTTTAATGTGTAATTGTCAATGTGTTTATACAATTTATAATAATAATTTTTGAGGAATGTAATTTAGTAGATACCGGGTCAAACAGTTTTACTACATAGTTAATAGAATTTGTAACGAGGCCTGTATGCTGTAAATCTATTATGGTTTTTATTTATTATAAATTATCAATAGAATTGTAACGAGGCTTGTATGATGTATATCTATTATGGTTTTTATTAATTATAAATCACCAATAGAATTTGTAACGAGATAGGCTCTCATAAAGTACTTAAACATGAAGCATGATTAAAGGTTGCAAAAGGGTCATAAAACAAAATGCAACTTCTATGTTACAAAAGTAACGTTCCTTAGTCTTTTTCTTCCGATGTATTCAAAATCAATGACTCAGGTGAAGATTAAAAGTTCTTTTAAGAAATGTGGATTACATCCATTTAATCCCAATGCTATTGATTACACAAAGTTAACCTTACAAGAGAAATATGCTGGGTATGAGCGCCTTTTTGAGGGTGTCAACCAAGGTGGCTTTGTTGAAGTTTCAACCCAAGTAGAACCAATATGATATTTGAATGTTAGTACTCAGACGTGAGAAACTTCTTCAAATAGGTTTCATTGAAGCACAGGCAGCTGGGTAATACATAAACCTGTAAGTGATAAATAGTTTTTGTAAACACAATATAAGATTGGGACAAACTATATACTTAGTTAAATTTTAAACAATCTTCTACAATTATACGTTCTTTAATTAATTGGTGTAACATTTTGTAACATCTAATGCCTCTGCTAAAATTTATTATTTAAAATATTTATACAGAATTTAAAAAATTTGTGATGACTTTGTATTGGATTGTCCCAGATTTGACGTGTTTAAAACAAGCAAGCGAAGAAACTGGTTTGATTTTGCGTTTGAACGAAACAGGCGATTGGGGACACAAACCAGCACATCTACAAATCCAAGTTCTCCCAAGAGTCAACCCTCTACTATTAGAATTAATTACTATTATTCTTCTTCTGACAATTCAACAAAAAAAACGATATCTCCTTTGCCTGTGGTAGCTTTCAAACAAAATAGGTCCAAAATTAGTCCTGTGGTTTCTTTCGCCCAAAAAAGCTCTAGGTTAATCATGGGCATTTTTTAATTTTATTTTGATATTGATCTTATGTTATTTTGAACTCAGTGATATCTATGTTCGTAAAATTATATTTTCTTCATTGCATAATTATAAACAGTTCTTAGCTTTAGTTCGCGCTGTTGCGCAAGAGCTTCAATCAGCATTGTTGTGACGTCAGATCAAGTTGTATTTATTCTGGCGGAGGGTCAAAGAGAAAAAGAATGACCAAGAGCAAGCACAATTTGAAAGAATAAACAAACACCAGGCAACTGCGGTAGTGGTGTAGTGGTAGAGCGCTCGCTTTATAAACGAGTGGTTCCGAGTTCGATCCCCACCACGTCCCTGGTAGTACCGCACTCAACTCGTTTCTCCGCGCAGCGGCCTTGTTCGTCAAGGTTCGTGTTTCGGAGTTATAGAGTTAAGAGAGGGTTATAGCCACAAAAAGTAGCCTCCTCGTCTGTAGTGGCCTTCTCGGCCTTGAGGAGGTGAATTAAAATTAAAAAAAAATAAAAAAAAAAATAAAAAAAAACTGAGTTGGCGAGGAAGTCAAAACCTCCAGTAAAAAAAAAGTTGTGTATACTAAGTGAATGCAAACAAAAAAAGAAAGTCTAAAGCAGCATCTTAATCAGGTATAAACAATTTCAAGGTGACTACTCTATAGTCCAGCTGTTGTTTTATTAAATATCAAAAAATAGATAAAAACATTTCCACATTTTATTTAATAATGCCATTTTCTCTCTCTCTCTTTTGATTCCAAGCAACGATATGACCGGAGATTTCTAGTTTAATTTGTAAGTAAAGTGAAAAAAAAATGTATATAAAACTTTAATTCTTTAACAATAATGTAGACTTAAACATAAATCTTTATCAAAAAAAAAAGACATATTTAAAAAATAATAATAATTATGGCAAACACTAGCAAAAGTAAAATTTCCCAGGTGGCAAACATATGTTTTTTGCTAGTGGTCATCATTTGGCTCTTTTGGAGGCTGTTGCTCCCGTATTTATTATCGGAGGTCATTTATTCAATGAGCATTGTGACCAACTCTCGATCTATAGGCTAAGACTAAAAGATTTATAATTTATGAAAATAAGAGAAATAAATATTTATATCCGACTAATTTCAAAAAAGTGACAAACACTGGGTGTTTTACCCTATGATTAGTTTTATTAAAACAAGTTTGAAAGATTTTTGGGGACAATCCTATTTTTGTTTTAAACATAAACAATAAAACTTACACATTTAAAATACCGATTG